CACATGCACATATTTGATAACGTCATCGGTCAAATCTGTTGACGTCATCACCTCTTCCAAACCGCCATTCCATTTCTCCATTTAATCAGGCACCTACTCTGCACCAATCTCTCTTTCACCTTCATCTACTCTTTAAAGAAACAAAGTAAATATTGATAACAAACAAACAAAGCGAGAATGGGAAATATTGATAACATTGAAATTGAGAGGCGGAGAGTGGAGGTGAAAGTTCCTCCGGCGAAGCCCTTTCTCCACTCCCTTAAAGATTCTGTTCTGGAGACTCTTTTCCCGGACGACCCTTTCAAGCGATTCAAAAAGGACCAAACGCTCTCCAAAACGCTCGTGATTGCCTTGCAGTATTTGGTGCCCATACTCGAGTGGGCCCCACGCTATAACATCCGTTTCTTCAAGGCTGATTTCATAGCCGGGATTACCATCGCCAGCCTGGCAGTGCCTCAGGGCATCAGCTACGCCGGCTTAGCCAGTTTGCCGCCAGTTATTGGTCTCTGTAAGTTTTTCAATTTAGAGCTGAGTTTGCTCACTTGATTCTCAGCTTCTATGCTGGAAAAATGAATTTCGCATTCTTGTTTTTCTTTTTTCGTTTCCATTTTACCTTCTGGGTGGAAGAGACTAAAGTTTGAAGGCATAGACGAGTTTTAATCAGCAATTTTTGGCTGAATTTCATTTTTAGTACACTATATTGGTTAGAAACTATTTCTAGAAAAAATGTCTATCATATAGGGTGTCATAGAAAATGATCCACTAAATTGTCAATTTAATCCAACATAGTGTACTGAAAATGACAACTAAATACACTATGTTGGTAGTTGTACGAATTTTGATTAAAGTGACAACTTAGTGTACCATTCTCGATGATGCCCTATATGATGGACCTTTTTCGAAAAATGACCAGCATAGTGGACCATTTTTGAAATTTTGCTGCAATTTCCAAGGAAAATTTGAGCAGACGCCGGGAAATTCCAAAAGTGACCACATTAATTAGGCCAAAGTTTGAAATTCAAGGGAAACTTATTCGTCCAATTTTACGATTTTGCATCATGCATGCTAGTGTATTCGGATTTCAATAAGTTAGTTTAACGTACATACTCCCTCCTATTCAAATTAGATGTCGTTTTGACTTTTTTGATTCATCCATTTTGCTACGTATCTAGACATTAATATGTCTAGATACGTAGCAAAATGGATGAATCAAAAAAGTCAAAACGACATCTAATTTGAATAGGAGGGAGTAGGAATGATGAAATTAATGCAGATTCGAGCTTTGTGCCACCGCTTATATATGCAATGTTGGGAAGCTCGAGAGATTTGGCCGTGGGGACTGTGGCCGTGCCTTCGCTTTTAATTTCGACAATCATTAGTAAAGAAGTCAACCCTAATGAAAACACCGAGCTCTACGTGCAGTTGGTTTTCGCTGCAACTTTCTTTGCTGGGGTTTTCCAAGCTGGTTTAGGACTGTTAAGGTAATTTCACATTGATGTTCATTGCAACGGGTCTTGATTTTTGCATGCATATCATCCAAAATTACGTGAAGACATGTCAGATTAAATTAACCAAGGAAAGAAAAATTAAATACGAGACACAAAACCCGTAAATCGAGCCTAGATGCCGGAAATTGGCCACCAAGATTAGAAACAGCACTCTACTAACCATAAACGAGACACGACAAACATACGATTCTTGAGATAACGCAAGAGTTTCACCTAAAACATTAATGGCTTCTGTAAAGTTTTATTTCTTTCCCAAACTAACTTATTATAAAGACAGGTGCAGGGAATAATGCCCATATTGACAAGAATGATAATAAATAGTTAAGGTAACCACCAACCAGAAATTGTTGACACCATACTTTTGGTTTGGTTTGGTTTTGGTTTTTGTTTTGGACAGGCTTGGATTTATTGTGGATTTTCTGTCACATGCAACAATAGTGGGATTTATGAGTGGAGCTGCCACAGTTGTGTGTTTGCAGCAACTGAAGGGCATTCTTGGGCTTCTTCACTTTACTCATGGAGCTGACCTTGTTTCAGTTATGAAATCAGTTTTCACCCAAATACATATGGTCTCTACTATATTTTTATCCTTACAAATTTGTATACACACATGGTGTATCAATTACTTCTTAAATGGAATATTATATTTACAATTTTTCTAATATATTTCTCTACCAAGCTATTGTAGTGGAAATATTAAAATGCCAACTTCCTCATTCTCTCTCTCTCTTTTTATTTTTTTTTCGTATTAAATTATCATTTTATTTCATTCTTATGCACTATGATTATGCTTAATGTTGGCAGTGGAGATGGGAGAGTGGAGTACTGGGCTGCTGTTTTCTCTTGTTTCTCTTCATCACAAGATATTTTGTGAGTAATTCGAGAACTACCAAAAACCATGCACTTTCAAGAAAACATAACATGCATTTCTTACTCGAAAGTTTCCCAAACTTCAAATAGGAAATTATGGTGTAATTGAATATGAATTTGATTAAAAAAAATCAATTATTTTAACCTCAGTATTTTATTTTTTTAATTCAATTTCACTATCCTCAATACTATTAATATAATTAAATAATATCAATCAATCATTCTTACAAATCTTATCAACTTTAATTTTCTATTCATTCACATAATTTTAACTAACTATAACTTCACAGAATCTCTCGCATACTTTTACATCAAATCAACTTTAATTATATTATTTTAATTTAAGAAACTCAAAATTCAACTAACAACTAATCATACCACCTTTTTCAAAATTAATTATAATTAATAAAAATCCATCCAAATCTCATCAAATTCATATCCATTCTGGTCCTTAAATGTTCCAAAATACACTGGACAACTAGCTAGCCAAAGAGCAAAATACACTAGACACTAGCGAAAGAGCAAGTTGAGCCTCGCACCTTAGTGTAGATAGGGATTAGACGGAGTCCAAGCAAAATTATAAAGTTTTAATAAATTTGTTTATATTTATTACCAAACGTGATTCATGAAATACAGTAATATAAAATATACTAGTTAATATAGACAATATAAAGATTTTTTAAATATAATATATTCATGATTACGGTTGTAAAATATTTTAATATGATTATTATTTTTTATTATATTGTAGATTTCACATATAAAATTCTAAACCTATTTTTATTACATTTAAAAATAAAATAAAATAAAAAAAAGAAATGCACACCACTAGGCATTGCCTTGACCAACTCGCCCTGCAAACCGCCTAACCAACCTAGACGTAACTAACTTCGTTGTTGTCCGTACCACCAAAGCATCACTTAAATTGCCCAAGCTCCCAAAAGGATCGTCTAAACAAAACTCAGAGTGCAAGTCATGCCTCCACCTGATTTAAAGGCTTTACAAATATATCCCCAAGTCTAAATTAACTTACAAAAATACCCTAATATTTCTGTCACAAACATTCCTCCACAATTGCTCACATCTTACAGATTGTGCACCAGAACATGAATATACCTCAAGAGCAAACAAACACCCGAGGGTGGTTATTGTAATTTCCAACAAAAATATTGACTGATCATAGTAACAAAATATCCTCACACTCAAGTACATACAATAATTAAATGAATTCAAGCAAAAACCACCAGTGCATCAAAATCAATTTTCTCTTCTAAGTTGTATTTTTCATCAAATTATGTGAACAAAGCAGAGCAGGAAAAAACCAGTGTTCTTCTGGATAAATGCTTTGGCACCTCTCACATCAATTGTACTCGGAAGCCTTCTGGTTTATCTCACTCACGCCGAGAAACACGGTGTAGAAATCGTAAGTCATATAATAATAATAATAATAATATAAAAAAAAACACCATCACAACCTAAGTGGCAAAATATTTCATTTCACAGATTGGGCACTTGAAGAAAGGGCTAAACCCTTCATCACTATCTGAGCTGGAGGCTTCATTTGGGTCAGCACATCTCTTGATGGCAATTAAAACAGGGATCATCACAGGCATCATTGCCCTTGTCGTACGTCATAAAACAGAGACAATGACTTCTTCATATTTTATTTTTAGCTCTAAAAACAGTTGTAGGAATTTTACCATGATTTTAACAGGAGGGAATAGCAGTTGGGAGAAGCTTCGCAGTGTTCAAAAACTATCACATTGACGGGAACAAGGAAATGATAGCGTTTGGGATGATGAACATAGCAGGCTCCTGCACATCCTGCTACTTAACTACAGGTACGAAAAAATTCTCGCCTAACTAACAAACAGCCTTAAACAAGTAGAAGTTTCTTATATATCTACCAATTTCAAAGGCCCTTTCTCAAGGACGGCTGTAAATTTCAATGCGGGATGTCAGACTGCCGTCTCTAACATGGTGATGGCAATGGCTGTTATGATGACGTTACTATTCCTGACGCCATTATTCTACTACACACCAATTGTTGTGCTCTCTGCCATTATAATGGCTGCCATGATAACTCTTGTTGACTATCCAGCTGCCCTTCACTTATGGGCAGTCGACAAGTTTGACTTTCTTGTCTGCGTCACGGCATATATTGGGGTCGTCTTCAACAGTGTCGAAACCGGTCTAATCATCGCAGTAAGTCAAAACTATTCATAATTGATAATCCAACTATCATTTTTTTCGAGTAAATGTTCTAGGGTTTTTTTGGTATATGGATAACAACTGCACAGTGATTATGCATTTTTCTCTTGTCGGGTTTTTAAATGTTCTAGGGTTTTTTTCGTAATTACGCTATACCAAGTATCTTTCAACATTCACAATACACTATAAGAATTGTTTCTATAATGCAATGTACTTGCTTTGGAGGAAATTATGTGGCGTAAATACAAACTCGCCAGGGGTATTATTAGCATATTTTTGGTAATTAAGCTTTTATACGAAGTAACTACTAAATCTCTTCTCATATTAAATAATTATAAGTGACGTTTTTTACCTGTGATAGGTGTCGATATCCCTGCTTCGCATACTTCTGTTTGTGGCAAGGCCAAAAACCACCGTCATGGGTAATGTCTCTAATTCCATGACCTATAGAAGCATCGAACAATACCCGGATGCGAATTTTAATCCTGGAATTTTGATTCTTCACATAAACGGCCCCATCTACTTTGCCAACGCCAGTTATTTGAGAGAGAGGTACGAAAATTTCATATTAACAGATTTTGAACTTCTAGTCCAATGTCGAATATGTTTTTCAAGTTGATCTCTGTTTGTAGGATCATGAGATTAGTAGATGAAGAGGAGGACAAGCTAAAGATTTCTGCAAAGAACAACTTGCAATACATCATATTAGACATGAGCGGTCAGTATTTTCATTATGATGGGCTATTTGCACGTGAACTTTGCACTAACAAGATGAACAAAAACAGCTGTAGGGAACATTGATACGAGTGGGATCAGCATGTTTGAAGAACTGAAGAAAAATGCCGACAGAAGATGTATTAAGGTACAAAAATATTCATCTTAACAGGCAAAGTTTATTTCACAAGTGTTTTTATTTACTCATAGAAATGATTACATAAGAAAACCCTTAAAATTTGGTGTAATTCTAAATGACCATGAATAAAAAATTTACTGGGTAGTGTTTCTAATTCCCACCAAATTTACTATCAAAAACTCCATGCCTAATTATGCGCAGCTTGTGTTATCCAACCCTGGAGGCGAAGTTATGAAGAAGTTGGACAAATCGAAGTTCATCGACAAAATTGGGCGCGAGTGGATTTACATAACTGTTGGAGATGCAGTGGAGGCTTGCAACTTTATGCTTCAAACATACAAGCAGCCGAAAGCTAAGGCAGAAGAAACTGAGGCAGCAGATGATAAAGTCTGATGTCATGAAAAGACAATTGAATGCAAGCTCCATTTGTTGACCTACACAGACTAAGGCCTAGAGGGGACTTTCGCCTTACGTCATCAGTAAGTATAAAATGCACCAGTTATCTTAGCAAGATTAGGATAATGAAGTTGTTAATATTAATGCCACCGCAAACAAGGGCGAGCTTTATTCAAACTCTTCTTCCCCATTCTGACTGAACTAGACAGTGGCCATTCCTACTACAAAGATGACACCTTGCTTAAGTGTCGTGTAATATTCGTTAAGAAATAACAAGCAAACAAAAAATTATACTTAGTGCACACCTTAAAAGTGATAGATACAGTCTCCAAAATTAAGCAATTCAAAAGGTTCTAATAGACTACGATAATAAACACAAATTCAAAACAAGCACTTAACACCACCAAAATAAACTTTGTGTTTATACATTTAAATCCTTCATGAAATAGTCAGCTACTCCCAGAGATCCAGAAATCTTACCGCCGCCCAATGAGACGCACCTTAATTTCGATACATCTTGCATAATGCTTGTACACACAAGCCAAGTTGTTACCAGAAAAATCACTACTTGGCTATTTATCCGTCCTAATTTAGACTTCAAGCGCAAAACCAATTATCTGCATTCCGTCTGATAGATCTTCAGTTCTTCAATGAAGATAAAGCATGTGCCAAAGCATACATCTATGCCTCTTTAAATAGACGTGGCAGAATTTCATGGGCACCAATGTCCAAAGCAACAGGATCCCTGGTAACATATTTGGTCAATCAAGTTTGTTCAATATAATAACTAAGGCAACTGCCTGAATAATAACACAATAAAACTCATCACATTCCCAAGGTTTTAAATTTTATACCATCTAAAGTTGCAAATGTATCAATTTTTTCCAGTTAAATGAAAATAAATTTCAGTCAATTATTCATTAAGATAAACCGAATGGGGCTGCTTAACAGGATAATTCAACACGAAACCACAAGGGTTTAAGACTAAGGATAAGCAAATGAATAGACAAATCTACTATTTATGTCAATCATGCACTTTGAATAGACAAATCTACAATTTATGTCAATTCACTATTTATGTCAATTCGTGCACTTAATGCGTGCCATTTATTTATGTCATGTGCCCAAATGTTTAAAAGTGTTGCTGCATATATCATGCACGATGGGAGATGAACCTGCACAATGTGTGTCCCTGCTCATTTGAACTGGGAACAAACCATATCTTTCTCAAAGACGGTGATTCAAATTGGATGAAGAAACCATCATTCTGCTCATGCTTCCATTTTCTCGATCCTTGCCCTTTCCAGACCTGCATTGAGATAAAAGACAAAGGTTGAATAAACAATCCAATTTTTTAGGATGGTAGAGAGAGAGATCGGTTCAAAGTAGAAGACATTTTGAGGGAATTATCACTGTGGTGCCATCAATAAAATTTAGAGAAAAAGAGCAGAAATATAACTTTGCAAATGACGAAATTAATGACATTCGACAAATCTTTATTGTTGGATTTTTTTTTCTCTGAAAATTAAGTCTATCTACTTTCTCCCAGACTACGAATATTCAAGTAAAATTAAGATACAAAGTCATGATCACCATATCAAAGCTCAAGTACTAAATAGAATATCACTTCTTGAAGTCTTACTTACTCGTGTGAGAAACTTTATTTATCATAACCTAAATTCCAAGATACATGTGAGAATAAACACTAAAGAAAGAGTATAGCTTTCGAGAGTTAGAGTTACCTGAGGATAGGATATTAAACTTTTTGCGGCCACTATGCAAGCAGCCTGGGAGAAAGAATCTTCAGCATACTGCCTGAGGAATGAAAAACAACTGCTGTGTGTATGTGGTGATTCAAATGCCTGAAAGTAGGAGAGAAAAACTCACTTTTAACCACAATATTCACCTATCTGGTGATTGTGTGTGTACTTAGCATAAGCAGATGATTGTGTCAAAAAGACAATGAAACATGAGCACAGCCAAAAACTAATTTGCTAAGGAAACACCTTATCAATATTAACAACGGGAGCATATTTTTCAGTATCTGTTTTTTCCTTGTGTAGTAAGAAATAAGCTCTGGGATCCACATTAGAAATTTCATGCCACGACTTCACAGTGCTCTCCATTGTTTGGACAAGGAAAGAGAAAATTTCTTTCGAGCAATCTCCAGATTCAAACTTCCCCGACTGCAAAAAATAGAAACGTACATTAGTGCGTCCCACAAAAAATTGAAGGGCCTTAGTTTTGCTTACAGACGACTTGTTCAAGACCAACCATCATTGAACAAGTGAACAAGGATGCTCAGTGTGATTCTCCAAACCAAAGAAAAATCATAACTAATTCGCAATATAGCACTTGACTCATCAAACAATATTATGGCATGCAGGTTTCAGATTTTAGGTTCACACTAAGTTGAAACCCCAAAAGACATGCGCCTGTGAAAAATAAGAAACAACAGGGGCAAATCAGAACTTACCAAATCATTTTTCACGGAATCCAAGTGTTTTGCCATATCAACATTTGATCTCATTAGTTCAACTTCTTGAGCACGTTTTTTGTCTCTTGTCAATTGAGTGAGTCTCTTGATTTTCTTGGACACCTCAGAGCTTTGGGGATTGTACTTCAAGGCAACTTGGAAAGCAGCTAAAGCCTGCAAAACAAATAATGAACAGTGACACCAGTGAGTAAGTTGTATCTGAAAGTTGCTATGGCAGAATAATAAAATCACATACATCTTCATAACGTTCCATGGCCTCTAAAACACATCCTTTCCTGAAATAACCCTGCACAAGCAACCAGATGCATTTCCTAAGTGAAAGTCATGAAACTGGAATAAGGCATGATTAACCACCAATAAATGTAACTATTACCTTTTCCCAATCTGGCTTTAAGCTGATAGTTGTTTCAGCATCACTAAGAGCTTTATTAAGTTTCACCAAATGCAGAAAAGCTGCAGCACGATTGCTATTAAAGAATAACGAACATGGTTAGGGCAAAAAAGTTCAAATAGAAGGAAATTACAAAAATATTGTATCACAGCAAGAATCAATATAATCAAGGGAAGAAATCCAAAGCTGATGACTAAAAAATAAAACAGAGATAGAAAGGGTCCAAAAAATTCTTCATGGAAGAATGGAAAAACACCAAAAAATGCTGATAAATCGGTCATATCACATGACTTTTTAAATCATTAAAGTTTATGGCCATTTATAAGGTATACTGCCATTTTAAAGAAGATAGCACCATCTCTACATCCAAAATCAGATCTTCCCCAAACTTTCAATCAACTTTTGCTGTTCTAAATGTGCACATAAGTGTGCCTTCTTCAGCTCCACCCAAACTCAGTTGTAAATCATATCAACCAAAAAAACAATTGCTTTAATTCCATTACCGTACTATGCCAGACATAAAAATTAAAAATGAACCGTTTGGAAAGATAAAGTCGGAGAGAAGATTCAGAAGAAGACGTAGGAGCAATCACAAAACCTTAACGACTTAAAAAGTACAATAGTTTGAGGCTAGTTATTGGTTTAAACTTGAACCAGCTACTAATAGCTACACATCCCACAAGCTGAAGAATAGAAAAATTATACACGCGCGCACTCGAAGGGAAGAATGCAGCATTATTTGACATATGCACTTTTTGAACAAATACCTCTGAAGCCAAAAGAACAACTGTAACGCCAAATTATAATCTTAAGGCAAAAAATGAACTACAGTCACGAAAATAATAGAAAGGGGAGACAAAGTAAACTTCAACTGGACCGAGGTACCCTGATGATAACGCATTTGTACGTTTAATACCTGTAAAGAGTGTGATTTGACGGGTCCTTCTTAATAGCTTGAGTATACAGAGCTGCAGCCTTTAGATAATTCCCTGCTTTGAAGAACTCATTACCCTGATCTTTCAGCGAAATCTCTGCTGCTTTTGCCTCCGATTCTCCCATTTTCTCTTTGTGTTTATCCTGCGACTTGGGACTTAAACACTGTCGTTTGCTATTTTTTATCAGGGTTTTTAGATTAGGGTTCTTCAGATTTTGTTTTTNGTTTACATCAATATCAATAATAGAGTAATATCAAAAGGTTGTTTTTTTTTTTTGCCTAATTGCTAGAAAAACCACGATTTTTTTTATTTTGGCAAATAAAACTATTTTTTTTTATCTTGACAAATCTATATACACTTTGACTATTATTGGTAACACGAATCACAGGACTCAATTTCGGGCTATTTCAGTTGACATAACAGGTTATTTTCATACGTATAATTAATTGTTTTAAATTTTGTGCTATATGGGGCAAGTTCATTTATATAGAGACGAGGCTCTCGCTCTCCCTTCAGTCCTCAAATTAGAAACCCTAAATTGGGTTTCACTCAATCTCCCTTGTTGTTGTATGTAATTTAACAACGATAATAAATGATAATAAGATGTTATTATAGCGTAAACGATGTAAACTTTATATTATTTTTGTGATTTTGCTGAGTACAAGAAGTCGGTATTTTGTATAACCGAGTTGTGTTTACATATGCGTGTTGAATGTGCGTAAAATAAATTCTCGTACAATAATAAATTCTACTATTTATAATAGTGTGTGTTTGACTTGTGTACGAGGTAGATAAGATCGCATTTAATGTTGAGCAGCTCTTTAAAGCGGTCTGTTGGTCAATTGGGGAACAACAATGATTACAAATGTAACATGTGGTCCAATCAGATGGGCGCTTTGTCACCTGCTTTGGTTCTTGGTTACCTCGGTCCTCGGTTTATGTGGACAATCTTCAGCGAAGAACCTTCGAGAAGTCGGTTATTTGTCTTTAGTGCGAAGTCGGTTTTCAGCCATGTGCGAAGTCGGTTTGACACCTCGTTTGTGCCGACTTGTGTTAAGTTGGGCATGTAAGGTGATCCAAGCAATAAGCCATTGGATAATACTTGTAAATCTTCGTCTTAATCCCAACAAATCGGGTCGGTTGTCAACACCCCTACAAAAATTCGAATGCGAAA